AGGATTCTGGTCAACATTTGAATTAATATAACACAATTGAATTATTCTCGAATTATAACATCTACAATGAAATGAAGTTATGAACCTCTTTCATACAGCTTGACTCTTGTAATTTTTGGAAATGGAACCAATTGAGTGTCTACTAGATTCATACTCTAAGGTCAAACTTAAATATTTGAATTCTTATTTTCAACTTCCAGTGACTAAGCGACTTGACTTTGAAAAATTGAAACAATCGTTTTGGTTATATTTTGTTCCCAACTTCCCAAGATTGAAAACTCATGACACGCCACTGTTCAACTGTAATTATCATCATTATCATAATTAGTGAAATTATATGTTCTTTACATAACCTTACAATTTTGTGTTTGAGAATAAACCACTCAATTTCCATTGGGAATGCACTGAAAATACGCCAGTCATCACTGGCTTGACAATGAATCAGCAATAAATTCGAGTACTGTACTGTAAGAGTGATGGCCCATGAATTCATGTTTGCTCGGTTATAAGTGGAACATAAATATCTTCAAGAGCGAATAACGCAAAAACCTTTAGAGTTAAGACAATTTGAGATTTCAGATTTCTCAATAATTCTGATCATCATTTAATGGACAAAGAAGATATGATGTAATTCACCGAATTAGGTAACCTATAGTACCACTAGCACCCTGCTCTATGAGCAATCACAAAATAAGTTGCAAATTCGTATTTCTCATGCCAGAAAACGTGAAACCACAGAATTCTATATTCATGCAGAGATGTATAGAAATTTAACTGGTGGGCTCACTCTTCAATTGTTTCGTCAGACTAACTCTCGATATGGAACAATTGCAAGCGAGTTTTGGACGTGGGGTTCAGGTATTTGCGATAGAGGCGCCATAATCGGAAAATCGTTCAAAACCTTGGTTCTGTGAGGAATGATCGAATCTATTTCTATCATTGTTCTGTGGTCGGATAAATACTGTGCTCAACATTTTCATCCAAATTTCAATTTGAAAAAGAAGCAAGAAATCTTTTTTGTAGCCGATTTTAATAAGCTTCACTTCTTTCATGACATGAACCTATTTAAAGCATGAAATCTGATGAATTTCCTATTTGAAGAACCAGAACAAAGAATGTATCAACTGTTGAAATAGACCAATATCGAAAATCATAATATGCAGATATGGTAACTGGTAATCACCTCAGAATTTATTCACACCAGTTCACGCTAATATTTCAAATCACTGAAATTAATAATGTTGTAGAACAGAGATTTTTTTTTTCTATGGTGGATTAGGTATTATACACAAAATTTAGAAACTACGGAACACGTCCCTAACGAACACTTGACCCCAATCTCAGAAATAACCATTTTTTCAGCTCAAGAATATTTTTGACATATTGACGTTTCGATCCTTTGATCAGGAATCAGTTCACTGCTCTGATCCAAATCATATACGTATCCAAATATTTATCGGTCGGTAATATGTTTCCTGTAAATATGGATTGTAACCAGGATGAGCTTAGCGAGATTCGCCCACGTCAAGTATGTTTATCAAAGGTTTATCAGAGTAGGCGCCATCGAGAAACTTGCGAACGACCTTCAATAGGGAGCAAGCGCACCAGTTAAATTTCTATTCATCTCTATTCATGCTTATAAAACTGAAATTTCAGAATGAATTCTCCCTCCATCCCCCCAGAACACCATGTATCTCCTGAACCAGCCAAATTCTTATTAGACATGCTGGGTTAAATCTCAATATTCAAGTATTTTCTTCCTGTAGATCAGAGATTTTCCAATAATAATGGATCACCCTGCACCCCTGAATTCTAGCTGCCTGTTGAGGTGGTTGTGCCCAGTTAAGAGCCCAACTACCATCTTGAGATCCCTTCTATTAAGTGACAGGATCTCTCTCGTGAGCCTTTTTGAAGGTTCCTTCATATGGAGCTTTGATTGTCTCATTCCTGGTGTGTCCCGCCATGTTTCAAGGAACTGCCTCGCTGTAGCATTTACTTCATGAAGGACATAGCCGTACTATTGTGTATTCCCAATATCGGTTCTGGTCCAATGGGTGTCGTTCCTGAACCGATCTTGGCTAGTCTGTCTGCCTTCTCGTTCCCCGGGATACCAGAGTGTCCTGGAACCAACATGAGGCTGACTTTCCTAGTTTTTGCCATATTTTCTAAGGCACTTCGACACTCGGACACCAATTTAGTTGTGATCCTATTGGATCTCAATGCCATAATAGCAGCTTTGCTGTCCGTGCATATGGTGACTGGTCCGCGTCCACTTCTGCCAAAATTTTCTTGGACACACGTCAGAATTGCAAACACTTCCGCCTGGAACACTGAAGCGTATTTGCCAAGAGGTACTGAGATGTATCTTATATCACAATGACTTCATTGTGTTATCATTTCACAAAATTTCATATCCCATGACATGACGAATTTCAAGCGATGATAGCTCTGTGATGGCTACAAGCCAAAGAAATCTGAATTTTTGATGTTATTTGTTACAGCCGTAAAAAAGTATAGTGTGTAACTCGCACGGAATTATAATATTCCACGAGGGCAATCACTATCGTTCCGTGATCTTCAAACAATATATTATTTTCTCCAAGCGGCAGAGATAGTGGCTTTTTTCTGCCGCTCAACAGGCAGAAAAGGTGTACTTTTACTGCCTAGGCAGAAAAAGTTTGTTGCTATGCAAAGTTCCAAGAAATTCTAATGAAATTAGTAATAAAAATTGATACTGACATTGGATGAACACAAAATGATGGAGTTTTCAATGAAAAAATTACAGAAAATTGGTATTATATCATTTGGAGAAAAAATTCTATGTTTTACACGGCAGCAAATGTAGATTGACTGCCTTGACTGAATTTCTATCAGCCGCGGCAGTCAATCTACGACTTTTCTACCTGGTAAAAAAAATAACTATTGTTTCACCAGAAATAGTATCCAAAAGACAACGTTTGCAGAATGTATGTTAAATTTTCAGGGACATAATAAGAATTTTTTTCATGTTGAAAGTTACGAAACATCATTAGCAATTTTTTTCGACTTCTGGTTTCAGCATCCTTCAATGAGGTTGATCGCAAAATGTGAGGAACAATTTTATTTGGCCACATATTCATGATAACAATAATTTATCTAGCACCATTTTTCATGAAAATTTCAAATGAATTCTGAGAAGCGGCAACATTGTCAACAGAAATGTTGTAAATCATTTAGGATTCTGGTGGACATTCAAATTAATATAACACAAATAAATTATTCTCAAGTATTAACACCTAGAATGAAATGAAGAAAGTAATGAGCCTCTTTCAGGTGCGCTGAAATTCGCTAGATAACCGTTCACGATGCGAAAGTACTGTCGTTTTGAATCCGGCTATCGGCTGAGCATTTTTCTTTACAATGTGTGATTCATCATGATTGTAATCCTGGCAGCACCTCGATGCCCTAGTAGTGGTTCAAATTCCACTATAAGCTGTAGGTCCCGCTCTTCCTAACTCCACACAAGTTTCGACTTCCGGAAAGACTTTGAAGTAGCGATACACAAATTTTACAAAATTTTACATGTATACCATTGCGATACAGTTAAACTTTTCGGTACTCTTTACTGTACAAAAAAGTGCTAATTTTTTGCGTCATCCTAGAAAATCCCGTATTGAACGATATTCTGGGAATAATCAGATGAACAATCATAATTAAAAACAACCATTCAATGAAATAATGTACGGGGTATGTCACGACGAGCTTACACTATTTTTATATCGAGAATAAGTCGGGAAAAATACATGAAAATGTGCATCCTTATATTTTAGAATACGCTCTCCTCATTTGAAATATTTTCGACAATGCAGTGTTGCCGCTTCTACTAGAAAGTTGTTGCAACATTGATATTTCGAATGGAACACCCTGTATTCTATCGTATTTTCAGATTCTCCCTGAACAGCTGATTGATCGATATATCATACTTGGGGTGAATCCACAGAGATTTCAGAGATATAGGGTGTTCAAAATCTAGATTTTTCAACTTCAAATTTTTTTTTGTGTCGAAACTATTTATCATCGGTCAAAACGGCTCACATGTCCCTCAAAGCTTTTGATTCACTATTTACAGATATTTAATCAGAACAGATACAGGGTGGTTCAAGATTCAGAATTCTGATCACTCTGTATCTGTTCAAATTAAATATCAGTAAATCAAAAAATGAGATGTATCTCTGTATCATTTCCGGCAAACTCCAAGTGTGATATATTGATGAAATCAGCTTTCCAGGGAGAATCTAGGAAAAGCAATAAAGTACATGGTATTCTATATTTGAAATCACAAAGTTGTTGCTACTTTTTGATAGAAGCAGCAACACTGCATTGCTGAAAATATTTTAAATGAAGAGAGTGTATTCTATAATATAAGCATGCATATTCTGATGGATTTCTCCCGACTGATTTTCGATATATAATGTATGTACAGTATGATGCAAATGTATGGAATAAATTCATTTCAAAACGAGACGACTTTCGAAAAAAAAAAAAAAAACTAGTTTAGAACTTTTTTATCGACGTATTTTTTTAACTAGACGACCCTTCGATGTTCAATTCTCAGAAGCAGTCCTCTGCAAGATTCAGTTAATCACATGATTCTGATTTCAATCTTCTCATGCAACATTTGACAACATGACTGTTGAATAGACGATCAGTGGACCTTTCAAACGAGGTGTCACATGACCCCTGTTTGTATTTAAAAAAATCGTCCATTACGTCATTACTCCAACACCGGTGACGTAACATCTCTCATATGAATATGATGAGATGAGGCTTCAAAAATTAAAACTCACGTGTTTTTGGAATTTTTCAAAATGTCGCCAATTTCTGAAATAATGAATTTATTCCATACATTTGCATCATACTGTATGTATATGTGTATATAATCAATGTCGATATAGAGATAGTGTGAGCTCGTCGTGACATACCCGTATATAGATATTCAGATGTTCATAGCAAATACTCACGCCAAATTCAAGCAACTGGCACTGTAACAAAAAAAAAATATATTAATTGGTTTCCACACATTTGTATTCTTCGTATTGTTGATATCATAATAATTGTCTCACACTACAAAGTATACTAGTAGGGGAAGCAAAGCGGCTAAATTATTATTATTATTATCATTATTATTTGCTCGAGCGTCGTGGGAACCTATTAGAATGTGTAGAATTGATGCTAAACAAAAAAGGTTATATTATGATATATGTCCTTTGACTGGCGAGGAAAGCGTGTACAGGATTCCAAAAATGTTAAAAAAAAGGAACATTCACAAAGATCTACTTGCACAATATACTATTTTAGAAGCTTGATTATAGATTGATTATAAGAGAGTTGAGATTGTTGATTACTTTGCAGTAAAATGTCGGAAAAACGTAAAGATCACGTCGAAACGTGACGTATCAATAACGCCACAACAAGTGATGTCACCGGAAAATTTATACTAAAGTTTATTTTTCGATTACATTGCTAACTGTAGGTCTGTTTGTTTGTGTCGCTGAACTTGCTAAAGTTGCGAGCATAGTTGTCTCTGTTCCTGACATAATGTGAACAAACAGAGTCATAGAAATGAATCAAGTTCAGCAAGTAGAACAAACACAAACGAACAGTCCTTTTGTTCGGTCCGCTTACATCTCGCCGACACTCGCTACATAATTTCAGATGCATCATCAGTTCTCGATCACCGAAGTAGGTATTTCGCGCACGGGTTGCAAATTTTTTTTTTCTGCAAACGCCAAAAATATTATTCTTAAGTAAGTAATATGCTCAGCTTGATATTAAAAATAGTGTTGAACTGGCTTAAAAACTTACAATTATTGTTAAACATTTAGATATGAATGATTTCTTGGATTTTGCTTGATGATAAAAGGTTTGAATACAAAAATTTCATGAAGTTTATATGCAATGCGCGGGATATGTATTTCGCACACTGTTGTATTTCTCACAGTATTTCGCGCACAGTGTGGTGGTAACGTGGGAAAATGAAAAAATAGGTCACCTTGAATGTTTTTCAGTTTTGTAAAAATAAACTAGTACCTTGATGTATGAAATTCTTTGTACTCACCTCAATGGTTCCATTCTGATGTCGTTTTATCAGAATAACACAGTTTTGATCTTCATCAGTCCTGAAATTAATAAAATCGCATGATATAACCGGTCTGATAAATAATATGTATTAAACAAAACTACTTCATACAAATCAGGTCTCACTAATTACTAGGTAATAAAATGCTTGATTTTTGCATTGTTATTGAAGTACTATATCATTATTCAATATGATTTCTCTTCAAACAACTAAAACGTAGGAAAGTTGGTTGAGATACTTGCGCAGTATACTAGGTGACACAAACTCTAGGTATACCCTCCGTTTTCTCCTTTGTTTTCTAGCTAAATTTCTGAATTTTGGTACATCAAATCACAGTAAAAAAAATAGAGTGAAATTTAACACTATACCTGTTTCCAGGAGGACCACTAAGCTTTAGAGTGAATGATTTAACTCTATAGTTTAGTACATCATAGTGTGATTTTTTCAATTCAATTAGTGTAAATTTTCAATGCAAGCACATTGAAACTAACTCTATTTATTCCTCTGAATATATTGAATAAACACAAAAATAGAGTTGAAAGAAACAATTTCGAGAGTGAATATTCCTTTCAAGACCCAAGCTATAGTGTCAATATCATCACTTTAGAGTGAAATTCAATAACCGAATATTACATAGTCACAAAAGTTCAGAGTTGTAATATAATAGTAGAGAGTAGATTCCACACTATGAAGTATAAACCAGCGTCGGATCCACCGGTAATTGATTGAATTATTTACTCTACGTGGATGTCAATTTGCTCCTGCATTGTTCAAATTGACACTACTATTTGTTCAGATGCTAATAAGGAGTTATCATTTATTCATCATTTTAGATTGATATAGAACACTAGTTGAGTAAACTAGTCACTACTTCCTGTTGAGATTTCATCCAAGTTGAATTAACCATTCTTTCACATTTATATGCCCCCGACAGACGTTCAGCGGCGAAGTCTCCGCAGCGCCACCTTTATGCAGTGGCGAGAATTGACGGATGAGAAGTAGTGTGACTTTATAATATTTTAATCGTTTGATATTTGAAAAATGACTTGAGTCCCACTAGACTAATTAGTTAACCTATATCTGTTTCATAAATCTTTCGAAACAATAATTCGAAACGGAAAAAACGGAAAATAACTGAGATAGGTATACGGAAATACGTTCATAACTCAATGTTGAAAAAAATTTCTCACTACGCGGGTATAGTAAAAACGCTACTTGAAGCTGATATCATGATCATTATTAAATCGACACCATAATCTGTATAACTTATTTCACTATCTAGTAGACTAAAACGATCTGAAACTGTATAGATTGATATTTCATCGTATATAGATTGAAATGAACAATGATAGAGTGTCAATTTAATCGACAAGAGAGGAATATTCAAGTTCACTATAGTGTCAGTAAACACTAGTATGAATTCAATTTCAATTGTTTGTGAATTGAGTTATCTGAATTGATATTTTATTGAAATTTCAGGAATATAGAGTGAATTCAATACGAAAATAGTGAAAATTCAATCTAGAATTAGTTTCGAAAAAGATAATCTGCGAGAAGTGTAGTAATAGAGTTGATTGCAGTATTAGAGTGAGTTTGTCAGAGTATTTTAACTCTAAAAACATACTCTACGGAATTCACTCGAAGCGGTTTTTTACTGTATATACTCACTAAAGGGAACTTCCTCACATTTTAGGATTTATTTTTCATTTTCCGGTTTTCCTGCACCTAAAGAGATCTTCCTTAGAAGTTCCAAAAAAATAAAAGTTCGTATTAAAGTATTCGATGTGTTTATCCATTGAATGACTACTTCACCAGTTATATCAACTCCTTGTATTTTAATACAGGATGAATCGAATAATCAAAAATATCAAAACTTGCCATTGAATAACTAACAGCCTATATGTAAGATATTGCGTTCAAATTTCGTATGGAGGTATTTGAGCTATGCCTGAATTAAATATAGGGTATAGTCACGTACTGATACGAAAAAAAATGCCTCATAGTCGTTTTTTAAATTATGACTCCTTCAACAATCAAAAGTCGTAGGCCTTGAAAATCTGAATATTTCAGATTTGTCCACATTTTAGAATAGAGCTGGTTGAGTACTATATTATATAGTTTTTGTTTTTGAAAATCTGTCGATGGGTTCTAAATCAGAAGGGTGTTGCTGGTTGAAATCGCACACACTGTATATACTTTATTGATGTTAACTTTGTCAGTTTTCGAAAAATATAGATTCTGAGGCAGCTGTAGAACGCCAGCAACGTTATCGTCTGGTGTTCAACACCTTCCTTAGATCTATACCAAAAAATCTGTATTTTTCAAAAACTGACAATAGATAACTTCAATAAAGTATAAATATTTTAAATCAGAGGAGAGCTCTACCGTTTAGAAAAATGAAATACCAGGAGGTTCCCTTCAAAAATACCATTCCATGTATGATGTTTAGGTTTACGATGCTTTTTTTCATTTCCTAGTAATAGATTCTGAATGTCCATAACGAATACCTTACTTTTGCCAATTTAAAAATTTCTGTAAGACCAATATCACATAGGATAGCTATTGACTGAAATATAAACAATCACTCGCTGTACATGATATATATTTTTGCTAGTGTATTGCTGTTTGCTCATGAGGAGTTTGTTTGTACAGCATGGTACAGCAGCTGTTTTTGGTTTTTGTCATGCGCCATATTGCAGTCGGGGAGAGCGGTGGATTGATGGGTAATTAATTCAAAATGACAAGTAGTCAAAAGTGGCATCAGCTGATAAAACTGGCCACATTTCGTTGTTTGTAAACAAACTGATGGAAATGCATGACCTACATCTCAGTAGTTTCTCTTCTCTTCTGTATTACCATACGTGAATATTAGATTCGTATAATTTGAAATCAATTTCTAGTTGGCATATTCGTATGATAAAAAGTTATTTAAACACTAAGGTAATGAAGAATATCAATATTACCCAGGAACTGAGATTATATTGGATCTTTCTTTTATTTTATTCAGACCAGGGAAGAGTCCCTCTTATCCTGATATCTATTATGGAACAAAATAAAAACGGTATTGAAGTTTGATGCGAACAGCCCTTCTGCCCCAAATAAGTTTCATTCATTCTAAGAATTGAAAGAGATCGAACGGACAAAAATAAATATTAAAAACTTGAGAATAGTAAATTTGGTCATAATGTCGATATTTTCTCTAGTTTATGGACAATCTCGGTCTTTTGAACTTTGATTGATCACCTGGGTCATAATCAACTGCATTTCGAAGAAGCTGATTCTCATGAACCTCAGCTTTTTCGAAAGTCTTGATGTTTCGTTCTTTAATGACTGACACGATTGAAAGGAGTTTCAGATCCCTGGCGATCTGGTTACTCCGAACATACCAAGGAGATCCTGTCACCATTCTCGCGACTCTGTTTTGTAATGTTTGTAATCTGGTGATATGAGATTTAGCTGTGTGGCCCCAGACTACTGAGGCATACAGTAAAATTGGCCTGATAGCCATGTTATAAATATTCAATTTTTGTCTCAAACCCAATTTACTTCGCCTGTTTAGAAATGGATACAGGGCTCCAATGGCTCGTTTAGCTTTAGAAACTTGCTGTTCAATGTGCTGGGCCCAGGTGAGCTTTTTGTCAATGCACACACCTAAGTATTTAACTTGTGAAGACCACTCTAACTCATGACCATCCAGGACTATTCTGGTTCTGGGAGGCCTCCGCTCCCTTCCGAGTGCGACCAATTGTGTTTTTGTAGGATTCAATTTGATCTTCCATCTTAGGAAGTACTCCTGAAGAGAATTCAGTGCGCTTTGGAGGTTCATAACTGCTTGCTCGAAATTTGTCGAATATGCAAGAACTGCCGTATCATCAGCAAAATGCGACATCTTGCACATCACTGGTCTTGGCAAATCGCTAGTATATAAACTGTACAACAGCGGAGATAAAACTGCACCCTGAGGAACACCAGCTTCAATGGGCTTCTGAGATTATATCCTCAGGCTTCAGCCGAGATGTATGAGGTCCTGTGGTAATAATATTCTTTATGCACGACCGGGCGTAAAGTAGCACTTTACCGCCCGGGTTTGCGGGCGTAAAGTGGCACTTTACCACTTCGAAAAGGAGTAAAGAATGGTAGGTTCTACAGCTAATCCCACTAAGCAAATTTGAAAGCTATGTTGATGCAAGGTTGTAGCAATCACTGAAACGGTAGTTCATCAATATTGCAAATGTGAATTTGTAAATGTAACGTTCCAGCAATGTCACAGCTACATGTGATATTGCTGTAATGCTACATTATCAAACTTCAGCTTCGCAATATTGCTGAACGTCCGTTTCAGTAATTGCTTCAACATTGCATTAACATAGCTTTCAACTTTGCTTAGTGGGAAAGGTGGAAAAAAATGTTTATTGTACCAGAGTGTTTTACCTGAAGAATCAACTTCAGCAAAACATGTCTTGATATCAAGAATTTTGTGGAAATCATATTGTTTGTGATTTTTTTTTACATATCTAGTTTAGTTTATAGTTTATTTATTGGTAAAGTATAACACATAGTGCTTTTACAGGTCAATAGGGTAAATAAAGTATGGAACTCGTTTTAATGATAATAATATAGTAAGAAAAATACTTGAAAATTAAAAAGTGAATTGAACGACACACATTTTACATATTAAAATAGGTTTAACATATTAAAATAGGTTTCACATATTGAAATAGGTCTTACATATAAAACTAAAATGTCCTTGAGTCACTCTCAAGGTACTCCTCGAGGGACTAGAAGACGTTCCTTAGGAGATAGTTTTTGACTCAAGATTTGAAGCTATTTAGATTTAGTTGCTTAACATCTGTCGGTAGAGCATTGAAAAATCTGATGCCATGATAATCGGTTCCCCTTCTAGTACGTAGCAGCCTGTGGTAGCCGGGCACCAGATTCCCTCCCCCCCTAGTCGAATATGAATGAAAATCACTGTGTGATCTGAAGTTTTCCCTATTTTGTTTCACATATACTAGACAGTGGAAAATGAAAACGCACGGA